GTTCCCACGTTACCTTGGTTGTTTATAGTGTTCAATGGATCTTTTCCCAACCTGCACATTTGAGATAGTGAATGGTTTTCTTGTTTAGATACTCTTTGCTCTCAACAATGCAGCAGGTTAATAGGGTAATTTCTTTTGTTTTCCAGTAAATGGTGCCATCACACAGTTATTTTTTCTCTCTGACCTGTGCCTTCAGTGGAGCGGCATTGCTTTGGCTGGAAAAAAATGCCACTGGGGCAACAGGTGTCTCCTCTGTGGCTGACTTGCTTCTGTTAGGTGGTATCACCACTGCGTTGGGGCATTGTGGTGGGTGATGGAGAACTGGTTTTGCAACCATCCCAAACTACCTCCTTGTTACTAATGGCTGCTGGCTCTGCTGTGTTGTTGGAGGTATCTTCACTACTTCTACCCAGCTCTGCCAAGGCATAGGGCAAAAAAGGCAAATTCATGATTTTGCAGCTCTGACCTCCCTGCCAGCAATGGCTGTGGGAACCCTTGTGCTATTAAGGCATCCAGATGTCTTCACAGGGCAAAGTTGTGACACGAGGGGAAAGGAAGATAATGCTTTTTCATTGAGAGACATTTTTCTGTCCCAGGCTATAGTGTGAGGGCTGGAGCCACTGTACCACATTCACTGGAGCTGCAGGGGACACCAGGCTGTGTCTGTTGCCATTGTTCCTGTCCTTTCCCTGTGTCTTGCCTCTCCAACTTCTTCCAACAGGCCCACCTTCAGGTGCACTGTTGCCTGGCTCTTTCAGGTTGTTTGTGTGTTCAGCAGATCCTTTGTTGAGTTACAGTTGTTTGAATCATTGTAAGTTTAAGGGGAGGAACAAAGCAGTCTTCTCACACCACCATGATGTTGACATCAATTCAGTATTCATGTTTAATAATACTCTGAGCTTCCTCTCAGGGTCTCCTACTACACCACAGCTTAGCAGGGTATGAATACTCATGACCATTCCTGCCACTAAACACTCCAGCATTTAGTAACTGAATGAAAACCACACTGTTAATTTAGAATTTTTGAAAATAAGAGTTAATGGTGTATTAGTAAATGTTATAGAAATAGCATATCTTTCTGTACGCTTGTTTATTCAAAGCTTTAAATTATTTAAGATGTCAAAATTGTTGAATTATGTACAAGAATTCTGAGAAACCACACAGGAAATTTGAATGATACACCAAAGAGAAATTAAATACATTATGAGACCAAGTTGAAACTCTACAAAGATGAACTGATACAGAGCATTGAGAAAAGAAATGAGGAATTATAAATTTGAAAAATGTTTACAAACTATGATTAATCCAACAGAAATGCCAAAAGAACATAATCATAAAGCATTATTCAATGTGAAAAAACAAACTATAGAAACATGTTACAAGTGTATAGTGCAATAAATTTTAATATAGTCTAAGCTACATACACTTCATTTAATAAGACTTTCATGGTTTCTTATATATAATCTTTTCAGCAGCCATCAAAAAGGTGTAAGTCCAATAATAGGTGCATGAAGAAGCAAATCGTGATACATCTATACAGTGAAATACAGCTCAGTAATAAGAAGGAATGCATGTTAATACATGCAAGAGTTGTAAAATAATTATGCTGAGTGAAGGAAAACAGACCAAAAATGGAGTATACCATACATTGCCATGTATAATGAGCATCCACATTTTTGTGCACATTATGTATGGGATTATTTTTTAAAGATTTTATTTATTTATCTTTAGAGGGGAAGGGAATGAGAGAAATATCAATGTATGATTGCCTTTTGTGCATCCCCTGCTGGGAACTGGCCTGCAACCCAGGCATGTGCGCTGACTGGGAATCGAACCATGATCCTTTGGTTCGCAGGCCCACACTCAATCCACTGAGCTACACCAGCCAGGCCTGCATGGGATTATTATATTCATTATTATACCATGATATGTGATCATTACACCTATCTATAATGCACATCTTTATTTTTCCCTCAAAAATTTGGGCAAAAAGTGCACATTATACATGGCAAAAATACAATATATTTTATGATTCCATTTTGTAGAAGATCCTAAAAATTGGAAATTAATATATAGTGGGAGAAACCAAGTTGGTGATTGTCTGTGGCAGGCAGGAGCCAGGAGAGAGGAGCAAGAGAAAGAGATTCTCAAGGATCATGTGGAACCTTTTGAGGTTGATAATGTGGTCTTGACTGTAGTGGGGATTTCACAGGTATATGCATGTTAAAATTTATTAAAGTATGCCCTTTAAACACATGCAGGTTATTGTTCATCTGTTGGAACTCCACAAAGCTGTTTTCAAAACGTGCAAGAACAAACTTTGATGGAATTTTCCATTGAATTTTTGAGGCAATATCTAGTCATGAGTAACATGAAGTTTTTTAAGAGTTTGTTTACTGTCATGATTCTTCTAGGTATTACAAAGAAATAGGTATGTACAAGCAAATAAAATATGTCAACTAATAAGACAGGCTGGCACAATTTATTTTATATTATTAAAATTAGAAAAAAGATTGCTTAACTTGGTGAAGTTATCTTCCAAAAACTTTCAACACATATCACACATATGGGTAAAGTTTACAATTTTAGCATTAAAATCATGAAGAACATAAAAGTGCCTAGTGGTATTGCTAATTCTCTCTCTCTCTCTCATACACATATCCAATATAAAGAAAGGATTTTTATGCCTTAGAAAGCTCGGAAAGGTACAAAAAGTAAAGAGACAAGTGTGATTATTTATAGACAATATGATCATCTAACTAGAAAACCCAAGAGAACCAATAGAAAGATTACTAGAACTAGAAAGAGAATTCAATAGAGAGGCCAGACACAGTATTCTTAGCCTTCCTATATTCTGAAATACCTATTTAGAAACATGGATGTGGATATTTACAACAGCAGCAAAAACTGGTCTGTAAAAAATATTTAGGAATAAATCTATCAAAATTATGCAAGATCTGTTTGAGTAAACTCTTAAATTATACATAAGATTTAAATGAAAGGATATTCCATATCTACCTGGGAAGAACCAATGTTGCAAAGATGTTGAAATAGTAGTCCCTTGAAACCTCATGGCATTACCATGTCACAATCCTTTTTCTTTTGAGAAGCAATTGAGATTATTTAAATGAGGCAAGTTGCATAATTTCTCCTAGAAAATAATAATTACCTGGAGATCTTTTGCTCAAAGTATCTTTGGAGATTGTGCCTTCCTCTCAGTGTCCTGCATAAAGTGAAACCATGTCAGTCTATGTCCCCACTGTAATGTGGAAGGTATTGTGAGAATGCGATACCCAGAGGATCCCAAAATTTCTCCCCTGGGGCATAAAGGGGGGGTCTGTCTTCCAACACTGCCTATAAAACGTGGCTGTGAATTGGGCAAAGGTCTCTGCCTTCACCTTTGATCAAGTGAGCTGCACCAGCTTGAGTCCTAGACTGCTTGGAGGCTGTGCTCTTTGTACAGATGTTGTGAGCATTGTTTTGGCTGTGGATGAAGGAACAGTAAAACACTTTGACAGGTTCCTCTTGCTGTTCTGGAACTTATATCTCAATATAATTTAAATGGTTAATTCAGAGGAGTCACCCCTGATTGGCAGGTACTAAAACAGATGACATTTCTCATAACTAAAGATACAAATTCAATGCGTCTTAATCAAAATCCCCACATAGTATTTTTGGACCTTGACAAGCTCATTCTAAAATTAAACTGGAAGAAAAAATAGACAAGGACAGCCAAAGCCACTTTTTTAAATCCATAAAGTACACTAAACTCTATCTACCCAACATGAAAATATATAATAAAATGATAATGACTAAAGTCCAATAGCATATCAGATAGGTAGCAATAGGAAGAGATAAATCTAATGTTGGACAAGAAAAAGAAACCCAGATTTCAATTACACAGTCTTATTTGAGGTTATTTAATGTAGCTTTAATATATTTTTGCTTTTACTCCCTAGACAATTCAATGATAATATCAAAAGTAATAATGGACTCAGCAATTTCTTGTTTCTTATACTACTTTTATGCTTCTCTCTTTCAATCATTCTTGAAGTCCTCAGAACAAAGAAAGGGAGTGAATGGCTTAGATCTTGTTTCCAATGGCTTAAGTTCCACTGCAGTAGGCCAGTGTGTCTGTCCTGGCAGATGGTAGGACAGGCCCGAGTAGGCAGATTCTAAGTGCTTTGCACTGAGTTGGGTAACTTCTTCAAGATTTCACAGCTAGTTAAGATTTGAATATGTCAGTGAGGCCTCATATCCGGACAACATCCCAGGAATCCTGTTCTCTCCTTTCTTCTTCTTTTTTTTAAAAATTATAGTTGACATAAAACATTGTATTAGTTTCAGGTATACAACATAGTAATTTGACATTTATATAGCATACAACGTGATCACCGTGTTAAGTCTAGTAACCACCTGTCGCCACCATATAGTTACTACAACATTATTGACTATATTCCATATGCTGTAATTCACATCCCTCTGACTTATTTATAACTAAGTGTTGACACCCCCTACCATCCTTCCTCTTCTGATGTTTCCTCATACTGCTGTGTTAGTGTGCCTGACATTTTTGGTGGGGCTCCTTCCTATATCCATGCTCTGGCCTTGTGGAAAAGCCATAACTCAGCTGCTTCCCATCAATTCAACCCAAAGGGAATTCTAGAGCCGGGGAAGGGCCCTATTGTAGCTTTTACTGCATGTCTTCAATGTATGTGATATCAGTATATGTCTCCTTTACTGAACTGTGAATGCCTTGGGGTGGGGACCCTCCATTTATCATTTTATTCCTAAAATTTATCACAGTGCTCAGCAGATGCTGGACATTAATTAAATCTTTGATAAGTTAATTCTAAGCACCAATTTTACCAGAGTTAGTGGAAATGACCTGGATATAGTCACATTATATCTTCTCAATGATCCAAACAACTGGATTGCCAAGCTTATATGGTGGTCACTCTGCTTTCCCACCTGATGCCCTTTTCCTTTCATTGTTGCAGCTGATGGGGTCAGAACGGATTGAGATGCGGAAGCGGCAGATGTCTGCAGCCCTGGAGACATCAGATTCCCTCCCAGGCCAACATGGAATGGGGAACCGAGGATCCAATGCTTGTTGCTTCTGCTGGTGCTGCTGTTGTAGCTGCTCTTGGTGAGGTTTGGGGCTTTGTAATTAATGTGTTCCTAGTTGAGAAATGATACCTCTAAACTGTGACAGCTTATGATTAATTCATTTTTAAAAGATTGTATGTATTTATTAGAGAGGGGAAGGGAGGGAGAAAAAGAGGCATAGAAATATCAATTTGCCTCTAATGCTGCAGCCCTATGGGGGACCTGGCCTGCAACCCAGGCACATGCCTTAGACTGGGAATCAAACCAGTGACCCTTTGGCTCATAAGCTAGCACTCAGTTCACTGGGCCACACCAGCCAGGGCAATTCACTAGTGTTTTTAAAACAATTACCATATGCTTGACATGATTTGGGTTCTGTAAAGGATAACAAAACAAAAACAAAGAGACTACATTCTAGGGACTTATATTCAAATGCCTGAAATCAGGTAACATATGTTTAAGAAACTATACATTTATGATTAGATAGTAATATTTGGGCAATTTATGATTAAATATTAATATTTGGCCAGAAACAATGTCTAGATGATTAGAAAGTAGTGAGCTCAAGGAACTCTAGTTGGTGAAAAGGCTTTTGTAGAGGAGTTAGAATTTAAAATGTAACTTAAAGGTTAGGGCTATGAAGTACAAAGAGCCTGAATTTTACTCTCTGCTGCTTCTGCCTTACTATTTTTTATTTTCAATAAAGAAAAATGTCAAAATATATGCTTAACAAGAAGAGAAAAATCTAAAAATATAGGCTAACTTACTGATAGAAGAAACACATTCACTGCTTAAAAACAGAGATATGCAATTTGAATATAAAATATCCTTGACCATTTGAGTCACACAGTTAAAAGTCTAGGGCAATGTTAATGATTTTTTCCTAGAAATCACAAGAACATTATATTGCATTTCTGAAATATTAGATACGAAAAGTGCTTAGTGCCAGCTAAATGTGTACATAACTTCAGGCAACTCAATTATTGTAAACTTATGTAGGCTTGACTACAAATTGAACCAAGACCTCACTAACCAGTGGAGAAAAAGAAAAACTTATATAGGGACTGGTCAAGAAAAGTGACAGAATTGGGTGGTAGGATGGAAGTTGAAAATGAAATGTTCACTGCCCTGGCTGGTATGGCTCAGTGAATTGAGCGCTAGACTGTGAATCAAAGGATCATGAATTTGATTCCCAGTCAGAACAATATGCCTGGGTTGTGGGCCAGGTCCCCACTAGGGGCCACATGAGAGGCAGCCACACGTTGATGTTTCTCTCTCTCTCTTTCTCCTCTTCCCCTTGCTTTAAAAATAAATAAATAAAATCCTTAAAAAAAGAAAATGAAATGTCCAGAAAAATTTGGTCTGCTCCACTTGACTTGGGCTAGTGTTAATTTCTAAGAACTTCCAATCAGGTGGATGAGATGCAGCAAAAGTTGCCCCAAGGACTGATGGAATCATGGTGCTAGGTGGTGTGTCCATTCGGGTCAGAGTCCAGACAGCAAGGGGGAATATGGAGGAGACAGAGCTGACAAGAGCTAAGAAGCCTAACATTCAAGGCAAGACTTCAGCCCCAAGTAAAAATCTAGAGGACCTGCAGGAAACTGGAAGAGAGGCACATGTTTGCTTACCCTATACATGTGGGTGTTCGGGACCCACCCTAGGAAGAGAAAATACCCATAAGTTGTGAAAAAAACTATGTTTAGACCCCCTTTCCACTCTTTTACTCTGCTTGTCAATCTCAGTGAGATGATTATAGATAATTATCTAAGAGATACACAAAAATGTTCCAGTGTAGGTGAGACTCCCAGAGACCACTCACCCTGTTCTTTCTCCCTTCTCAGCTGCCTTGCATAAAGCATAAGAAGCTGAGATGTTTGCCTAAACAATGATTGTTGGGACTGATGGTGTAAGGGTAGCAGGTGGTGATCCCTGCTACCCTTGGGGGATCCCTGCAGGTCTTGATCCCAGAACAGGCTTCTCCTACTTGCACCAACTAGGGTGAATAAAATATAAATCTATACCTAGATATCATCATCATAGCCAAAAATTATGTAGCACATGTCATGTGTATATATAAAAGAAAATAGAGTTATGTCTTCAAAGTCCTGGAGAAAAGTAACCGAAAACATGTAAACTGTAAGTCAAGAGTATGGGTAAAATTAGACATTTTCAGACATGCAAAGGCCAACAGAGTTAACTACCTTTAGATTCTCTCTAAAAGAACTAAGGCAGGGTGTACTTTGGGTTGGGGGAGGAGTAAACCCACAGATTAGTCATGGGAAACAAGTAACAAGGATAGACACAAGAGGAATCAAATATAGCTATATATAAAATATTTAATTTTGTGTTAAATAGTGTAAATCCAAAGTTGTAAACAAATAATATCATGTTAATGATATAAAAATCAATAACTGAAGACTTTCTTAGGAATAAATTATAAGAACATTTTCTTTCAAAATTAATGGCACTCGTGATTAGTCAGAAAAACAATAGTTCACACATCAATGGAAAACAATAAAGGAAATGTAGAAAATTTTGTCAGCATGTGATAAAAGTGGTTTAGCAAAAGAGGTAAGGAGCTATTCTATAAAAAGTAAGATACTTGGTATTAGGGTGACCCCCTTCATTCCAGTTGCCTGGCACAGTCTTGGTTTTAGCATTAAAAAGTTCTGTCCCTGGAAACCTGCAAGTCCCAGGCAAATCAGGAAGCTTGTTCATCCTACCTGGTATCCAAATCCATAAAAATAGGTTTATGTTTCAATACTATATCATATAATCTAACTCACCTCCATTCTCCACACCTCCCACCCCCCCAAAACAAGATAAATTCCAGATATTTAAAGGCTGTGAACAGCCAAAAAGAAAATACAGACTATTTTTATGATCTTTGTTTCAGAAGAATTACAGCAACATCTATAAAAGTAAAAGAATAATACATTTGGCTATAGTGAAATATAAAAATATATATATAATGAGCAATATAAGACATATTCCACACAAAGACTTGTATATTCATAGCAGCATGATTCATAATAGTCAAAAAGTGAAAACAACCCAAATGTCCATCAACTGATAAATGTATAAACAAAATGTGGTATTCCCATACAATGGAAAGTTATTTAGCCATAAAAGCTACAAGATATTAAAACTGCTAAAATATAAATGAACCTTGAAAACATTACATTAAGCAAAAGAAGCCAGACAAAAAAGACCACCTATTTTATTATTTTATTTATATGAAATGTCCAGAATAGGTAAACTCATAGATACAGAGAGGAGATTGCTGGTTACCTAGGGATGGAGCTATGGAAGTGAGTGCTAAAATGTACCATTTCTTTTTGCAGTGATGCAATGTTCAAAACTCATGGTAGCAGTTACACAACTGTATAAATATACTAAAAACACTGACTTGTGCGATTTAAATTGTGAGTCATGTGGTGTGTGGATTATATCTTAATAAAGCTGTTTTTTAAATGTGTTTAACAAAAGATATCAGAAATAAAAATGAGCAGATAACACATACCAACAGAAGATATTTTTAATGCACTTAACAAAAAAATGCACATGAAGAAGTTCAGGAGATAAGTAGGAAAATAATGACTAAAAGAAAAATTAACCAATGAAATGAAACAAAATAAAATCTCCTTGTGCTTCTACTAATAAGGATAGGAAATATGAAAGTTAAATATATGCCCTTCTAAATATAACTGTATCCTAGTATACCTGCTAGAGGAGAGAAACAACCAAAAAAGGAACCACCAAAAGGTAGAACCCAAATACAACAAAAGAGCCCACACAAACAGGAGAAGGGGCAAACCTAGAGCGTCCACACAAGGAGATCAAAAGGATCACACCACTGAACCTCACAGAATTCCTACCATAGAAGTTCACCCTGCAAAGACAACTAGCAAAGCAAAACATCAGGAAGTACAGAAACAAACAAAAAGAGTCACCTAAAATGGGGAAACAACAACAACAAAAAAATAACATGCAATCAAAAGGAATGGAAGACTCCTCACTAAAAGAGCTAAATGAAATGGAGGTAAGCAAATGATCAGATGTAGAATTCAAAATAATGGTTATAAAGATGCTAAAAAAAACTCACGGACAATTACAAAGAAGTGGGTGAGAACTACAACAGTATAAAAAAGAAAATAGAAACTATAAACAAAAACCAGGAAGAAATGAACAATAAAATCTTCGATATAAAAAACACACTAGAAGGAATTACAACCAAGACGATGAATTAGAGGATCAAATCAATGAGCTGGAGGACAAGGTAGAAAACAACACCCAGAAAGAGCAAGAAAAGGAAAAGAACTTAGAAGAAATAAAGAGATGGTAAGGAACTGCAAGACACACGAAACATATTAATATCTGTATAACAAGGATACCAGAAAGAGAAAAAGAGCAAGGGATAGAAAACCTGCTTGAAAAAGTAATGATGGAAAACTTCCCTAATCTGATGAAAGAAAAAGGTAAACAAATTTAGTAACACAGAGAGTCCCAATCAAGAGGAACCCGAAGAGGCCCACTTCAAGACACAGCATAAGTAAAAAGGCAAAATTCCAAGATAAAGAGAGGATCTTAAAGGCAGAAAGGGAGCAAAAAAAAAAAAAAAAGTAACATGCAAGGGAACCCTGATAAGACTAGCAGCTGACTTCTCAATGGAAATGCTCCAAGCCAGAGGGAATGGCAAGAAAGATTCCAAGTAATGAAAACCAAAGGCCTGCAACCAAGACTACTATATCCAGCAGGCTCTCAATTAAAATGGAAGGGCAAATAAGAACCTCCCTAGACAAAAGAAGTCTAAAAGAATATACCTCAGCCAAACCAGTTATGGAAGAGATGCTAAAAGGACTGCTTTAAGAAGGGGAAGAAAAAGAGTGAGAGAAAGAGAAACACAGGTATGAAAAATGGCAATGAATAAGTAAGTACTCATCAATAATAACCTTAAATGCAAATGGATTAAATGCTGCAATCAAAAGACACAGAACAGCTGCATGGAAAAGAAATCATGACACACACACATATGCTGCC